CTGCTATTATAACACGTATCACTGCCACTTTTGCTTTTCGTGCCAAAGTAATGTGTATGTAATACAAAACTGTATACTGTTACAAATTATTCAAATAATGAAATCTACTAAAAGGGTAATATATATATATATATATATATATATATATATATATATATATATATATATATATATATATATTTACTTTATTGTGTCATAAGGAATTGCCATGCAATTCACGCAATTCATAATTTTTTAAGTCAAATGATCAATTTTTTATTCTTTATGCAGTGCCAGGGAAGTTGCAAGTGTTTTTTTTTTTAATGATTAATGATAATTGCATATGCCATTCTCTGCTTTGGCTAAGGTAAATGGGAATTTTATTTATTTATTTTATTTTTTGCTGAACCATATGTGTTTTAAAATGAGGTGGCAAACTAGAGTTCATTAACGCCATGAAAATTAACTCCCCTAAAATAACTGTTGCATTAATAAATATTCATGAAGTGTGTGCAGACTCAAACTGAACAACTAGATGTTGCTGGTGGATTTAAACATGTACTGTACAGTATCAGAGCTCTCTCTCTCTCTCTTATTTGTGGTCTAAGAAATCACATGGATCAAGGTCCCTGTTGACTCATCAGTGCTGCCAGATCTTTCTAGAAAAACAGCAAATAAGAAGAACAGCAAAACAACCCAAAAACTTAGCCCAACAGATATAAACAAAAACAGCGCAACTCGTGCCTACTGTATTAACTTTACAAACTAGATTGCTTGAGACCAAAATTGCATAATAAGCATTACGTATAATAATGCAAATTTCAAAATGCACTATGAAGTAGATATTAAACCATAAACAAAACAAAACGCCTTTGTGGATGATGGTTTTGCTATAATGGCTGAGCAAGCAGAGTGTTTAGTTGCTCTAATGAGAGACAACGGAACAAGGCTCTGGCTAGTGTAATATTGTGCCAATAGCAATTTCCGGAGTGAGTGGTTTTGTCTACACAAATTCTTCTGGTCATACTTTATTTTAAGGTAAACTCCTCGCTAATAAACCATTAACTATGACTTTTGCCACAATTAACTTCTAATTTGCAGCTTATTAATAGTTATTAAGGTAGTTGTTTATGTATTAAGTAGGATTAGGGATGTGGAATGACATTATGCAGAATATGTATGTTGTAAGAACTAAAGAACAGCCATTATCATAATTATAGGCATGTAATACACCACTAGTTATTAATAGTCAGAATTGGTGAAATCGAAGAAGACTTTTCAGTGTTTAAATGTGGTCATCTTTTCTAAAACAGAAAAGTGTATGTTGCAGCAGTACAGTATGCCTTTGCAGAACAATAAATTGTAACAAACTAAATAATTTATTACTGTCAAACAAATGCAAGGATACATATCAGAATAAAAATGTGTGTGTGTGTGTATGTATGTGTATGTATATATGTATGTATGTGTATGTATATATATATATATGAAGATTTGATGCTATGTACACACACACACACACACACACACACACACACAATATATTAATTTGTGGCTTTGCCTGTTTTTATGTTTTAATGTGCACAATGCCTCATCCCATTTCAAAAGCTGTTTAGTTAAGCAATACTATTTGGATGATTTTGATTGCTTCCCCAGCAGGCACACAACATCATAACACGTTATTATTAGGTTAGATTTAGATCATGACGTCAGATGAACAAAATTCAATTTCTAGCCAGCGTCTAAGGACAAAGTTTTTTGACGTCCAATAACGACGTCAAATTACATTGATATTTGGTTAATTTTAGGTTGTGTTGGAAAGTGACCAAAACCCAACGCCTGATAGATGTCATGGTGGTAACATCCACACAATGTCAAAGTGTAACATGATTAGACATTGATATTTGGTTGATTTTAGGTTAATTTTAGGTTAGACATTGGATATTAACGTCGATCTGACATAAAGTTCTGAAGTCAACCCAATTTTCATTTCCAAACAAAATGCAACGTTCCATAGACGTTGGGGTGCGTTGGGGTACAACATAAATATGATGTCATGTTGACGTCCTGTGCCTGCAGGGTCTCTTGTTGAAATTACCTGCACAGACTGTTAAAATTTATTAATCTACTGTAGTGTGTAAACTTACAGCATTGACCTCAGGAACGCTGTACTATCATGTGCTACATTCTCTTATGTTTTGTGCCAACTGTGCCATATTACATTTTGTTATTTGTCATGCATTTACATCCTATACTTCTTCCTACTGCCTGTGCGAATGATTTATCCTACAAATTTTTATTTTATTTTCACATTCCAAGAGATACAGCAGCTTTTATGAACCTGTTTGTGCACCTCCACAATCACTATGACACACGCTGAACATGCCCAAACATGTCCTCTTTTACACACATACACATGTAGAGATGTGCAGGAGGGGTCATGAGATCAACACCTGCTACCTTGAAATATAAAACACCTTTGACCTTGTCCACCAATCAAAGGAAGCTGTTTGGCGAATAAAAGCATCTACACCACTAAGGAAAGAAAACATGTAAGGCTGTACCTTGTGGACATGTGGGCATTCATTGGCCATCTGTTATTCTACAGTAACTAAAAAAACTTACAATCCATCATATAACATCTGGTCAAAACAGAAGGAATCATTTGCACTGAAGATTGTATTGTTCATGTAGTGTACAGTCCAGTCCCAAAGGAAATCCAAAAACAAAAATTCTGATAAATAATGTTACATTGGATTTTCAAAGTGAAATGTCCAGCAGTGAGTGCTGCAAAAAACACGTTCAGTTTTATAGAGTGGTACAGAAAAGACACCAGAACCTGGAAGAATGATTCACCCTTGATTTCCCTAAAGATTTTCATATGGGGTTTTATAATTGGATTTTTCAGTTAATGAGTAAAATAATGTCTGTGGTAAGCATAACTTTAACATTTTGTTCTTCAAGAACAAAACTGCACAAACCCAAAGACTTTTCTAGTGACTTCTTGAAAGTGTATGTTTTATAAAACACACATATAATATAATACACATATTTTTATATTTTCGATATGAATGTATATGGTGGTTGGGGCAAATGTCTTTGACAGTGATTACCATTTCGAATTGAATGGAACCTTTAGTTTCTTTGTTTTATTGCTGAGCTACAAAAAAGCCAGCTGAAATTAAATGATTCATAAATACTGTAAATCAATCAGACTTTTGAAATTTAAATACTGTTAGCAAACTTCACAAGACATCTGCGAATAAATCAAATAAGCTTGAATAAAATATTCAGCATTGAACTTGTGTTATAAATGATATATAAATATAAATGTTATAAATTTTTTACTGCAATAAGTTCATTATAAAATGTTAAAAATGATACTGCATTAGTCAATATGATTCAAAACAATGTTTTTTAGTTATTTTTAAGGTAACACTTTATTTTGATGGTCCATTTGAATATTAGTAGACTATCTGCTTAATATCTGTTGTTACAGTTCCATCAACAGACATTTAACTGACTAAAAGAAACTTTGCAAGTATATGTCAACTTAATGGCTGAGCACTAATCTTAACTCTAACCCCAACCTACTGTAACAGTCTACTTATAATCTAATGAAAATGAGTTGGCATGTAGATGCAATGTAACTTAAATTCAACAAACGGATCATCAAAATAAAGTGTGACCATTTTTAAATATTAATGAATAAATAAGAAAATTACTCATGGCAAATTTTATATATAAAGCTTGACATATATTCGGCCCACAACCCTCAGTCAAGTTTGCTTTTTGTCCCTTTATAGGAAAAAGTTTGGCCACCCCTGATATGGAGCAAAATCTCAATGTACTGTATTGTTAAAGGTGCAGTAGGTTTTTTTGTTGTGCTGGTTGAAAGTCTCTTCACAGTCCAATAGTAATGATTACATTAAATTATATAAATGTATTTTTATATTCTGGGTAAGGCATAAAACAAAAAAATGTTCATCCAATTAAATAGAGTCAGACCGACATCTCCCATAATTCCTATAAGCAGCTCAGTCTGTCGGTCAGCAAATGTAGATTCGGACTTCAGCACATCTTTTCACACAGATCCGCCATTTGGGCGTGCCCCTCTGCTGAACAATGACAGCCTTCCTATAGTGTTTACCATGCTACTCTAAATATTCGCTTTGAAATAGCATGAAAGTGTGACTAAATAATTATTGTAATTCCTGCATGGCGCTGGCATTATAATGGCGAATGACATGAGCTAGTGGGTTGTCTGTCTACTGTTGTGACGCGGTGCGCGTGCTCGCGATTTCAAGGGGTATGGCTTTGAATCACAGCCCCTCCCTGCCGTCCAAAGATAATATGCTAAGCGGTTAGCATTTTGGCTGATCACCTACTGCACCTTCAAGTTATGTTTAGCACAGCCTTTAAAATTCTTTTTAATTAAAATCTTAAAAAAAATAAATAAAAACTTACATTTTTTTTGGGAGCATCATAACAAACCTTAATATGTGAAATAAAAAAAAATTATATATATTTTTACTTTTATTTAATGTTTAAAATGAAAATCCAACTAGATTCACTTTATTTGGTAAACAAAGCAAGTCTCTCATATAATATATATCTACTAATAGTTAGAAAATATTACTGTACAGACTGCATAAATTAAATGAACATTTTCATATTAGTTTATAATATTACTGTAATTAATTTAAAAACTGAATAAATATTGATTTACACACATTTACGCAAGTAAATAAACAGAATTAATGATGGGCTTAAAATCTGCGGAAAATCTGCGGATTTCGTGTGGGCCTACTCATGGGACTTGTACCTGAGTGTGACAAATGATGTGCTACTAAGCAAGTTTACTTATTGGAAGATCAGAAATATGGAGTTATGTTGTATTTATAATAAAAGTGTTTTCAGTTTCTAACTGGAACTACACCAAAAAAAATCATTATTAATCAATAATCTGCCAGTGTGTTTCATCATTTCTATGAACAGATATAAAAAATGTAGATGTTATAATGACCCAAGTGTTCATATGTGTGCAGGTATATGCATTCATTGATTCAATAAGCCAAGGTTGAAAAGTACCAACAGATGTTACACGCTTGAATGGGCTTTTCTGTGCTACAGAACCTCAAAGCAGCAATGGTCATGAGCATTAGAGACGCTTGGTATAGCATCATAGATCTAGGACATCAGCCGGTAGAGTTCTCTCGTGAGAATGAATTGGCTTTCCTGCCTTTAATAAGTCAAGATAGTCAGGCTAGATCTAGTGGAGGCAAGACAGTGAGAGAAATCCAAAAGCGACACAGAATAGGAACTACAGTAAGGTGAATTATTGTCCACACAAGCCCAATAACAGGGCAACAGTTCGTATCGGAATCACCCTAATCAGAACTGACTCTGAGGTGAGAGTGTGCTAAATTTAGACATTAGCTTTGTTCCAGAACCTGCCTTACTGACTATTGCATACATATTGTAAGCTGGTGTTTTGCTTGTCCCAATAGTTAGCATGAGAAGCTAGCTTGCAGTTAAGCTTATTAATCTATATTTTAAAGGGCTGAAACCTCGACAAATGTTTAGTGTGACAAACATGCTCATTTGAATAAACAATTGTTAATGCATCTGTTCACACAGACCAGACGTTTGGATACTGATAATACACTGTGTGCATGTGATAATGTCTGCAAATCTGGCCAAAATGTTAGCTAAGCACTGCAATTAGTTAAAATAGAAAACTAAAGTCATCCTTTTGAAATATTCTTGAAATTTTCCTTATTGGTGGATCACTATATTTTGGAACAGAAGTTATGTTGTGTGCTTGTGTGTGTGTTTGTGCTGCATGGTACATTTTCGTTGGCTATGACTAATCTGTCTACCTGGAAGTGTGCTAAATGCCCTGAAAAAAGACCCTGTAGAGAACTTATAAAATGTCTTACTCTGAGGTAATTATATAAATTAGCTGTCCCCTGCTCCGCTGAATGCTTTTACAGTTTTAAATAGAAAAAGACAGTTGGCATTTAAAATAGACATAAAGGGATGTTACCTGTTTAGTCTGACCCTCCAGACACATTAGATTTCAAAGCATTCTCCCGTTAAAACACCTTATTTCTAGAACATACAATTTCACAGTTAGTTAAGAGCCAGTATTTGTTGTGGTTATAATTCACTGTAGCTTTAATTGATGACAATCTTGATGTTTCAAAAGTAAATATCTGATCGTGGACCTCAAAACTATAAAATTATACATCATCTGAAAGCTGAATAAATAAGCGCTTGCTCTTCTTGCATTAATCTACCAAAGGCCAATGTCGACTGACTAATCGCCTGACTGACTGACCAACCATCAGATACTCCCACCCACCCCTTTCCCTATACCCAACTGATTGTGTTTTAAAATGCAACTTATTTTTACCATATTTTAAGATTTTACCACACCCTAATATTTACTTTTTTATTATATTTTTTGTTTTTTGTTTTTGTCTTACTTGCTTTCTGGAACCTGTCTGAGTCTCAAGTTCACCAATGTGCACTGCAAGAACTGGACAAACTGGTAACAGTGGAAAGCTATCCATACGGAGGCAAGCGGTCAGCTGCTAGCCTGAAAAGGAATGACATCATATCGCCCCGTAGTATTCATTTTAAAAATGAAATGCAACCATACGTATATCTGGCTACAATCCCAACCCAGGCTCATTCTGAAAGTGTAGTCCAGCGGACGTTTCTGGAGACCGCGAAATACGTCTTAGGAGGTACGTATTTGTGCAGTTTTTGTTTTCAAGAATCCGCGAGAGGCTGCTGTGTGCGCTTTTTTGTATCTCGAACGTCTCTTGCGAGTGCCGTTCGCGCCCGTGCTGTTCTCACGTCAACCCACCAGAGGCCGCTGTCTGACTGACCGAACGATTGACTGCACGACCGGCCAATCGGCTGACCCACCCTCCTCCTTCCCTAACCCAACCAGTTTTACCGATTGACCCGCCTGCCCGCCTGATTCCCTAAACCCGAGCAACAGTTTAGAAAAGCCGTCTAGAAAAAGAAAAGCCCTCATCTGTTTTTCGGATTTTACCTCGTTCTCACCCTGTTATGAACTCGTTCGCTTTATTTTTTGGATTCTGTTTTTGTCTTACCTGATTTCTGGAACCGCTCTTCCCTGGACTTGAACCCGGACGCCTTTGTCAACTCCTCCTCTCTGCATCTGAAGTCCGCCGATGGACACAATGAGCTGACCGAACAAACTGATTGCGGTGGGAAAGCCCTCCACACGGAGGTAAGCGGTCAGCCAGCAAGCGCGAAAGGGAACGGCATCACATCTCCCCGTAGCGTCCGCTTAAAAAAATTTAATGCAGCCATACGTACCTCCCAGGACGTATTTTGCGGTCTCCAGAAACGTCCATGGGACACGTTTTTAGAATGAGCATGGGTTGCATTATTCATGATCTCCAGAAACGTATATAGGGCTACGTTTTCAGAATGAGCCTATCTTGTACAAAAGGCTTGTAAAAACTTGTAAAAACAGCAACACTTAAAACTCCAATGTGCCCTATAATGTGTTCAGTAAAAAAGTATACAATATAACAATATAAAATAAATATAAAATTTTATCAGAATTATTATTACAATATTTATTGGGTGTCTGTACTATATCAGTATTGCATTACCTTTTGATGTACTACAATAGCTATGTTTCCATCCAAAAATGCGAATTAACTTTATGTGCAAAACTTGAATATTGCATAAATGACGATCCAACGAGTCGAGTAAAAGCGAAACTTCCTGATTATCTGGAGCCAAATATCAACAGTAAACATAATTTCTTAGTACCAAATAAATACCAACGTAAACGCACAACACCGTGCTATAGCAGTGGTATGACAATTTGCTGTATATTGCTCAGGCTAGGTACCCTTATTCAGGTAGAGATATATGCATGATGTAATTGTGCAAAGCTCAGTTTCTGTTCAGAAGAATGTGCCCCTAGCAATTCCACAGCATCAGATCATTGTAGTAATAAGGCGCTCAATGAGAACTGTCAAGCCCGGGAAAAGTTTGACAATGTGCAGCTCTGCAACTTTTTTGGTGACTGTGCACTCTTTCACTACTCTGCCTTTGTTAAATTCAGGGAGACCCCATAAATACACTGGCCATCTGTGAAAGTCAAAGACTGTAAGCTTGCAGAAAGGCTTTGCTCATCTGTCTTGCTAATGTGCAAGTGGATGCAACGACCTCAACCCCTCCCGCACCAGATTTAGAAAGAATAATGCCATGCTCCTCTGGTGAATTTTATTTTCAACAGCGCACCTGCCTGGCTCACGGCCCCCAGAGACAAGATTGTGGTTTAGTGGCACAATGATTTTTTTCCCATCTAGCAGCCAATGAGAGCAAATCTGTGACTAGCACTATGCTGACGTTAACAGTGTTAACCATGGGACGGTGAGGCCCAGTTTCTCTTTGTTGTAAACCAGAGGAAGCGTTTGTCATGACATTGTGAGTCTAGCCTTTCGGTAATGAGCTGAGTAAAACAGAGCATTTCAGTTTATACTAAGGTTATTAATGTGAGACAAAGTGTGCCATTTCTATCACCAAACAAACTTGCGAAAATCATTGCTTTTTAAGCAGTCTGACAAACAGTCTTGCTTGAAAGCCACACCATTGATTAAGCATCATGTGTTAGGGAAATCTAACCAAAATAATCCCTCAACAAGACTTCTGAGTTAGAAATAACCCTATCAACCCCACAACCAGCATCTAAAATGGTTGCTCAGTCAATCAACAGAAATGGAACAACAGTAATTTATAGTTTATTAGAACTTCTGTTTATCCGTGCATCAATAAACTCAGTGCTGCACAAAGTAAGAAATTAATAATTTATTCAGCATGGTAACATTATGTTCCCACTATACAAAAAGGTTCCATTAGTTTATGTTAGGTGGAGTATTTACTAAAATGAACAACGCTTACACAACATTTATTACTCATAGTTTACACATACTAATGCATTATTAAAATCCAAATTCATTCTTGTTAACATTAATTAATGCTGTGTTTTCATTAACTAAAATTAGCAAAGGTGAAAAAATACTTTAATGTATTGTTAGAATGCATTGATACAATCTGTTAACTGTTCTTTAATATAAATAGAAGCTATGTAGCTTAGGTAAAGGCAAAAATTCTCCAGAAGTTGTTTTAAGAGAATTGGCCCTAAAAATACATACATGCAAATAATAATATTTCTTTATATTTATATTACAGATTACTAATGAATGAGATATCTTTATGCCACCAGAGTAACCTAGTTTGCTCATGATTTGTGTTGTGAAGGACTTACTAGGTATACTTGAAACTTCCAGGGCTCCAGGTGACACCTAAAATATAGTCTTCATTATATTAATACCAACCCAGGCTCATTATTGATTTGTACCCCTATTTAAATTTCTGGAAACCGTGAAATATGTCCACAGATGTATGTTTTTTTGCATTTTTTATTTTTTACCAATCCACCACAGGCTGCTGTGTATGCTTTTTCAGACCTCAAATTTCCATCCGTGTAAAGTGTCATTCATGCCTGCTGTTTTTGTGTAAATCCACCAGAGGCTGCTTTTGACCTACTGACTGACTGACTGACCGACTGATTTGCCCAGTAACCCTCTTCTCTAAACCCAACCAATAATGTTTTCAAAAGCACTGATTGACCTGATCATCCCCTTCCCTAAACCCAACTGACGTTGTTTTCAAATGCAATCCAGAAAATGAAAAGCTCTTGCGGCTGCCTGATTTTTACTACATTTTCAGATCCATGTTCTCACCATGTTATTTACTTGTTTACTTTATATGTCATACCGCCAATAGCGTTCATTTTAAAGACGAAATGCAGCCATACGTAGCTCTGACTACATAATTCACGCTCCCCAGAAATGTGCATGGAGTACATTTTCTCAATGAGCTTGTGTTTTTTATACTCAACAAAGGGACAGACAAAGATGTACTTGGAGTTGTGGTGTATAAATACACAGACAGGAATTAATATCAACCTCTGTAGGTTTTGTAGTTGATAGGTTAACTATATATCCAGATAAACCTCAGTAAGAGCTGAGTGATATGACAGTACAATATATACACATTAAAACTGTATTTTAAACTTTTAGTATTCAGTTCAGCTTATGTTTATTGTATCTGTATTCTATGGCAACTTTAAAATTGACTTTATTATTGTGCCTACATTGTTTTTTGATTAAATAAATGGACCATCGCTAAGCATAAGAGACTGCTTATCTACTCTAAACTCCATG